ACCTCTTTTTTAACTAAAACCACATCATGATTGAATCATTACCCCCTTTAAATTCAAAGTGCACATTCTCTCTAACACAGTAGTCTTCACTGTGTGGAAGATTAGAGAGACAGCCACTTTGCTAAAATAATAGAAGCAAGTATGTAATTTGACTAAAATTGGAGTGAGTGGGGCATGACTCATTGGGTGTCTGCTTTTATGGCCTGAAACGGACAGAACTTACGAGGCTTCACATTACCTCTGAGGTCTACATGGATATGTAAAAGGACTTATTCTGGGACACACCACACATTCATAAATGACATGTTCCCCACTTCTTGCAATGCAATTATAACACCCTGAAAATATATTTTAAAAACATAATTATAAATTCAATATTGATTGTTACTAGGTTTCTGAGTGTCTGTGTTACCATAATATATATATATATATATATATATATATATATATATATATATATATATATATATATATGAAGAGAATAATTAATTTAAGATAAATCAGGAACAAAAATATTAATGCATAGTTAGAATATGAAACTATTTTTAATATTAATCCACATCCAACTAATAACTCATGCTACATGTTTATATGTATAACTGTCTACGTTTGTATAACAGTGGGAGTATTTTTATAATTTTTTGTACGTAATTTTTTTTTAATAGGAAGTGTGATACCTAAGTTGAAGGCAAAAAAAATCTTTCACAGAACATTTGTAAGATTTGCATTAATCCCATCTTAAGAAGATAAGTAAAGGTTTGACATGTAATGAGATGTAGGACCTATCTTGATCAATTCCATCAATTCTTCTTGGGGTTTACTAGTTTTTCAAAATGATACTCGACCATTAAGCAGCCATGTCAAAAATTGTAATCGTTTGCACAATTAAAGAATGTAAAATTATATCTTGCCATCTAATAATAATTATTTTTACCTTATATTTTTACATACAAACTATTGTATCAGTTAATCTTAATATATAATAATACTGACTGATGTGCTTCATTTAATGGTGCAAGTTAATGCAAAAAGTCAATGGAAGATAAGGATAGTTCTTGAAGTTTTAAAATAATTTTGTAATTTATGTTATTTTTGATTTCAAACTTAAAGATTATTAAATATATATATTTATAAATTTCACCTCACACCTTTATTATCTAAAGCACAACAAGTGAGTGGCCATATATTTATGCCAGCTCATTAGAGATTTAAAAAGATTAATAAGAATTCGAATTAAAATTTGAAGGAAGTGATCTTTGTTTACAATTAGTCTAATAATTAACGACTCTTCACTTTGCTCCTTTATCCTTTTCGCCACTGTGTCGCCATTTAGAAAACTTTAATGTTTTAATACTTAATATTTAACCTTGTTTTCGTTCTATCTCTCATATATATTCAGAGAGAGAAAGGGTTATAAAATAACTTAGTGCATCAAAGTTTTGAAATCTTTATATATATGAAAATGTTGAAGATTTAGAAGGGCATTAAGGTAGCTAGTTCGCAATTGTTAGTCACATATATGACCATAAAAAAAACCAGAAGTTGTCTAGTAAAACCTTAAATACAGATACATGGAATGATTTCAGCACAAAAAGGAAGTTTAAACTTTAAAGTTTAAACCCAAAGTAGCAAACAACCGTAAAGGATTCGAATAATTAATGGAACGGTAACTACACATATTAAAACCTAAAAGGGTTCTTGATGTCTAGTCAAACTTTTCTGATCTTAAAGGCAAAGCAATTATTTCCCACCATTTTGAACCTAAACCACCATATCCACTGAGATTTTCTTTTCCCAAAATAAAAAACATTTGACTAATTTAACTACGTTGGCTTGTTAATCTTTACGAAAGTCGCTGTAAATTAAGAAGGAAAAACAGTGTACTATTCACACTAAAAAAGGTAGATGATATGGGCTGATATCGTTGCATAAAGTGAAACAGTGATTATGAGGTGGACATTGAACTTTGGTGGGGCATGTAAGTGATGAACTGAAATTGACATAATTCTTTTTCTTTTTCTTTTTCTTTTCAAAGTTTTGAGGTTCTTAATCTGTGAAGATGTTCTCATGCATGCGCACAAGTGGAAGAGTTGGTTCTTAACCAACCGTTGCAAAAGCGAAAATAAAAGGGTAAGGTAATTAGTATTGAGAACCCACCAATAGCACTAAGTTGTGAACCTTTTATGATTTTAATTTAGTGGTAATGTAGTTGGAGCAGGCCATTATTTTGTCCTGAGAGTTGAATCGATGATGCACTGTGAAGAACTGTTGGACACTTGATGCATCGACACAGGGAGAAGTGGATTCTCTGAGAGGGTGATCGATCCGGATCCATACCTTTTTCTACTGCATCTGCATATTATCTGCAACTTGGACCCCCTTTCAATATCAATCTTTTTTATCTCTCTTTTCCTTTTCTTTAATTATTACTTTCCAAAATGTAGTTGAATTAATCATCAATACACACATTCAGGTTTCGAAAATTTTCTAACATGTAATTGGTTTTATTCAGCTTAACTCGATGCTGCATATAATACTTGAGTGGAACCCACTTCAAGAAAACTTCTCTTTCTAAATGATGAGCATTTTGTACACAGTTTGTTGTGTTAAAAATTCCACCTTTTTGCATCGCACAATTATCATCGTAGATCTACTTTTTGGTTGCGATCAACATTCCATGCTCACAGAGAAGTTTCTGAACGTTTACCTGTAAATACTTGTTTTTACTACTATTTTAGAATGAAAATAATATACAACTATTCTGAATAATTTTCAATGATGTAAAAATATAATATGATATAATATTATATTTAAAATAAGCAGAATACAGAGGATGAAGAAGGCCATATAAATTAAGAAAAAACAAAATATTGCAGGAAACATAAGAACTGTTTTACTCTTGTAGTTGTTTTAAGTGAATGATTAAATTAGTACGTGTATTATTAATGCATTCTTTGACATGAGATGGTTCTTTGTTGGGCTTTAATGCCTCTCCAAACCCATTTCCTTTTTTTCCTATTGTCTATCAGAAGACCGAGTGTTGGGCTTACTCATGGAACAGGGCCCAAGCGACTTTATTTTAATTTTTTTTTTTTAAAAAGTGGAGGCAAAAAGTCCATACACAAGTAATATTTTCTCCCAATTACAAATGAGATCAATCATCAATCTAGTGAATTGAGGAAAATCATAACAAAGGGAAAAAAAAATCTTTTTTAAGATATACAAATTTTTTTGGACTAATTTTTTTTATAAGTATTTATAAAAGAATAAAATATTTTTTTTGGGTAAACTAAAATTATTTTATTCAAAATATTTAAATAAAAACTTAGAAAAATTATATGAGAGAACTTTCTTATTTTTTCTCGAAAAAAACTTACCATAATCATATTCCAACAAAATATAAAGAACTTACGTAGGTTTATTCAAGTATTTAAATCGTATAATTTGAATTTATGATTTTTTGTTAAAGTAAGACTCGTACTTCTAGATTTTTGCATCAATAACAATTATTTTACTGAGTATTTATTTTACAACTTTTATGATATAAAAATTTGTAGATTTTTTAGAAATAAATACTTAAAAAAGAAAAGGTTGTAATGAAATCTTCCAAATTAGCTATGCATTTGTGTGAAAAGGAAAACAAAAAATAAACTTAAAGGCAATATAATATCTGATAGATAGATAGACATACAAATACTACGTAAACCTGATACAACACCATTTTTGATGGAGTACCAAGTGATGTATGATGTATCCTAGAATCATCCCTGTCTGCTCTAGCTAAATCTCTATATATTTTCTATCCGTTTTTCCTTTCTATTTCTTTCAGCAATCAAAACAGAGTATATGTTGTGCACTGCCATTTAATCTTATTACAAATGAAAAAGAAAGACATGGCTTTTTTTTTTTTTTTCTGATTACGCATGAATTTGACAATAGGGTACGCATCTTATTTAGTGGACCAGAAGACAAATTGCTAAATCCTCGTGATTTAATTCCTGGATTTTGAAATTCAATGTACATGCTTTGAAATGCATGTTTCTGGTGATTTTTTCTGTTGCAGATGGAATGCTTCTTTCTGTAGTCACTTTTTTCAAATTTTGTCCAACAACGAGGGTTAGGTGAGAAATGAATAAGCAGAGCATTTATGTAAATTTTGGTTTTTCTATTAATATCATATAGTAAAGAGATTGTGAGTGTTTTGATTTTTTAATTCGACATATGTAAACCATGAAGGCTTGTGGGATATTCTAATTTCTGAATGAAATCTCTTTTCATTTTCTCTTTAACTCCACAAAAAGAGTCTCGTAACTCATCACATACTTGGTAAAAGTAATTTTTCCAGCAAAATCAATTTAAAGCTGAAGTATATATAAATCAATTTTATCAATCCAAACACACACTTAAGTAAATCCATTTTTCAGAATATATATGACTCAGCAAGAAATTTGAGAAATTTTCACTCTTGAAAGGCACCCTAGTGGAACAGGTGGACTGGCATGAAACAAAGCGTTGTAGGAGACCCTTAACAAAATTAAGGAAGCAAATACTTGCTTGAAATGCAAGAGGGCTACCTATATGTCAAAATATGAAACCTTCTCAATATGTTCCTTTTACCACCAAGTTATGTGCCAAATGATGGCGAAAAAATTGAAATATATCTTCAGGAATAAGCCATTGGAAAAGGTAAAATGGGCACCAAGCTATTTTGTGGTGATCAAAGGGTGAGATGAGATGAAATGCATAGCTGATTGGTGGAGTGGCTTCTTCTTGTGGAAGGGAGAAAATGTTTGAAAGGGACAATGTACCAGCAACAAATGTTAATTCATGAGTGTCCTACTATGGAATTTAAAACGTCCCAAAATATATAACAGTGACCTTGCAAAATCTTCACCCTTGTCTAAGGAAAGCCTAGATGGTTCCTCTGCATCTCTCTTACCCCTCTTGTTATCTCCTCCACTTTACTTCTTCTGCATGAGCCACACCCACTTCTTCACCAAATGGGGTGGCTGCAATCCCTCCTCTCTCCACTCAAGAAGTTCTGGCTCCGTTTGAATTCAACTCAAAAGAAGAGTACGTTCCATGATCATGTTTTGTCTCTTTATAGTTTTAATCCAAGAGTGTTTATGTCCTGCTTTTACACTGTTTTAAGCACTTTCCACAAAGCTTCTATTCTTGAACCGATAAGCCAAATACACCAATCTTCTCTTTCACTTATTTACCATTTCATTGGGATTTTAAATCAAGTAAAAAACAGTCCAGTTTAATTCATGTTCCGGGAAACGTGTTCTTTTACACAAACATACTATACCTTTTTCCCTTGCTAACTGTTAAGGGCACTGCATGATTTTTCTTTTTCACATTTGTTTCCAACATTTCAGGAAGAGGGATTTACATTCTGTATGAAGATGTCAAGTCTTGCCCCTATGAAGACGTGCACGTCCTCTGGTCAATACTAGTGGAACCGCATTCACCTTCTATGCCTTCCAAAAAAATGAAGGCCTTGGCCAGAAGACAAAGTTGAGAAGTGTCTAGTAATAATGTACATAATAATATATCTATAGTGTGTTTTTATCTTCCTTTATTTTTGCTTTTTAACTTTTGTAGCACCAGTAGCATAGCGTGGCTCTTAGCTTTTGCTTTGGAAGCATCTACTAAAATGGTTTTGGTTTATGTACAAGATACATACCATCTATGAAATTTGTCTTGATGTTATTGGGGAGAAAGGGGCGTAAGAAAGAAGAAACTAGAAACTTTTTGTCTTGGTAAAGGGTTTGTTTAATTTTTAGGGTTAAGCGTCTATTTGAAGCTGTTGAGATGGTAGTTTGTTCCTTTAATTTCCCTTGTTGAAGTAGACATGTGAAAGCACAGGCGTAAACTTAGTCAATCTAAAAATAAGTGACAGGATGTTATGCGTTTTAACATGTTCAATCTCTTCAAAATAATGGAACAGTTGATGCTATGCGTTTTGTTGCAACCACAACTAGGATCTAAATAATTTCTTTAGCAGAAGCTGGTTCAATTGAAATCACTTGCTTTGAACAAATTAGAGTAATCTAGAGGAAGAGTTGATGTGATTTTGTAATCAGTTACACAACATTTAGAGTATTTGGTAGGAAAATTTTTACTTTTTCAAAATTATTTAATTATAAATTTTGTTATGCTAAATCACATTTAAATTTAAAATTGATATTCACTTTTCTTTTTAACTTCCCATTTCCTCTAATTTAGATAGACATTTATCTCCTTCTTTTATGTTTTTAAATAAATTAAACTTTAATTTTTTTAGATTTTTAATAAAATTATACTCATTTATTTTATTTTATTTAAAATATCATATTAATTTAAATTTAACTTAAAAATAATGAAAATTAAAATTCAACTTTTAAAATATAAAAATTAAATTATTTTGCAAACAATTTTTCTACTTATTCTTTATAAATAAAATGATGAAGAATAATGTTATTTTATTCAAAACATAAAACAAATGTGAGTATTTATTTATTATAAGCACGAGGGAGACTGATGTTTATTTAAAAATTATGGAACCTAAGTGTTATTTTATGAAAAATATGCAGGAATGAATAAAAAGAATATGAGTATCATTTAATATAATTTTCTATAAGTGAAATATTTTTTTCTTATGTTTATTTTATCACAATAACAATAAAGTATTTATATGCATTCTTAATTTTTACTTTTATTTTTAATTATAAAATTATCATTTTATTTTTAATCTTTCGAATTTTTAAATATTTAATCAAACTATTTATTTAGTTTTAGTCGAACAAACTTTACTTTTTAATTTTTATACAGAAATCATCACTTTATATATATATATATATATATATATATATATATATTATCTATTTTAGTATCTTGAGTTTAAGTCAGGAATTGATAAAGACTAAAAATTGTATTATAAAAATAGAAAAAAAAAGCAACAACTAAAATAAATTATTTTAAATATAGGATTAAAAAAATAAAGTCTTTCAACTATGGAGACTTGTGTAATAAATTTAAATATTTGTACTACTTAAAGAAACCTAAATTTATAAAAAATATTAAAAATAAATTTAAAAAATAATAAATAAACTACTTATTTAAATTACATATAAAAAGATTTAATTATCTTAAGTTGAAATATTTTTTGTTATTAATATTTTTTATTTGTAACATTAAATTAATTATAATAAAGAAAAATAATGGCTAAAAATATATTATTAATAAATATACTCTGAGGAGAAAAAAGTAGATGAAGTCATACGTAGAAAAATAATAATAGTAATAATAATAATAATAAAAAAGTTAACCTACGTATTATATCATGTGGAATTCCTCAATTATTAAATTCGTTCCCAACGTTTTTTATATTATTTTTATCCTTTTAAAAAATAAATATTTTTTAATCTTCTTTAATTATTTAAATTTTAAAAAATAAAATAATAAATTTTTAATGATAATTATTTTTAATATATTTAAAATTTTCTTAAACCGGGAAATATTTTTATCTCACAGTAATGAATAACTGTCAAACTAAAAACAACAGGTGAAAATAAAACCCCGAGAAGCAAAAACTCAGCTTGTTTCCGAGGAGATTTTGGTTTCTGCTCTGTGTGCTTTCTGGTAACCGTCATCTCTTCCATGATTTCAACTCTCTGGGTTTCCGCTACCTATTTTTCTTCTATATAACCTTGAATTTCTCTTAGCCTGTTTGAGCATTATATTTGAACAAGTATCTTATGCCTTGAAGCATTACCATCTGTACAAGAAGCCCATTCATATGGTAGCAGGTTAACAACAAAATTGAAAGAAAAACACCAAGTTTAGAAACAACAAATCAAATTCAAATTTGACAAAACTCCGGGTCCAATCATAACTTTTTCAGCATGGAGGTACCATGTAACCCTATTCTTGTACAACTATAATCTCTGATCTGTAATTCTTTTTCCTTTGACAATATAAAAAATTGATTTTTTTAATTGGTGTCTTTTATTTATTTATTAAAATAAGTAAAGTATTAAAAAATTTTAAAAAATATATATTATAAAACACGATTTTAAAATGAAGTAACGAGGATTTGATTTTAATGTATTTTTTTTCAGATAAAAGTGGTAGTACGACTTCTATATTTAATTTATATATAATACAGTTTTTATTTTTTATATTTTTAATAACAATAATTATATATATATATATAAATAAAAATATAATAAATACATTCTTATATTATTAATAATATAAAAATATAATAATTATTAAGAAAATAAATAATAATAGTTATGTTATTTTATTTATATAATTAAATAATAATTATTATTATTATATTATTTATTAATATTATTATTATAATTCACATTAAAAAGTAAAAGAAATATTAAAAAAATGGTTTTATTATTAATAAAATAATATTAATGATATAATTAAATTAATAATAATAATATTGATAATAATAAATAATAAAAATCACTATTATTAGTTTTATTATAAATAGTAATATTGATCATAAATATTAATAATATAAAATCTATTGTTATTTTATTAATAAATAATAATAATTTATTAAAAAAATAATTTTAATAAATTATTACATTCATAACATTTAAGAATTTATGAATGTTACAAATAAAAATAATAATAATTTTATATTATTAATATTTGTTATCAATGTTATTATTTATAATAAAATTAATAATAATAATAATAATGTGTTTTATTATAATTATTATAATCAATATTATTATTCATTTAATTTTGTTATAATAAGATTATTAAATTAGTAATCAATAAAAATAATAAGTTCATAATAATATTGATTATAATGACTATAAGAAAAAAATATTATTTATATGATTAAAAATAAATATTAATCTATTATTTTATAAATATTATTATTTTTATAATACACAATAAAAATAAAACAGAAAATAATTTATTAATAATAAAATAGTATTAATTATATAGTTAAATTAATAATATTGATTACAATAATTATAATAATAAAAAATATTATTATTACTTTATTATTAATAATTATAATAATATTAATATTTATAATAAATATTAATAATATAAAATATGTTTTATTTTATTAATAATATAAAAATATATTTATTATATTTTATTTATATATAATAATAATAATAAATTATAAAAAATAAAAGATGAATATATAAATGTGGTATGGACTTTTACGTAAAAAAATTTATAGTAAAATCAAGTACTACTTTGTATTTTTATGTCTTCAATTTATTTATTTTTATAATTTTTTAAAAATAATGCTAGTTTAGTAAAAGAAAAGTCAATAAAATGATATATGATGTTCACAATTTCTAGTCAGTCCTATATCTAATAAGACTAAATAGGAAAGAAAAATCATATTTCTATAGCTATGTTTTAATTTCAACGCTAAGTTATTCAGCCTAATTATAAATTAATCTTTAATTATTAATTTTTTTCTCAAACTTACAATTAAAAATTAGGTAGAACGATTAATTTGATATTTTAAAGTGTATAGAATTTTCAATTTAATATTATAATAAAATAAAATATTTGAAAATAATTTTTTTTATTTCAAGTAATTTTTTACATGCTATTAATAAAATATAATTTAGTCTTTTATAATAAAATATAATATAATTTATATATCATAGAATTAAATTATATTTTAACAAAAAAATATTTGAAAATAAAAACAAAGATGAAAATCATTTTTAAAAGTTATTTATTTATTAGAATTTGAAAATTAATTAAAAAAATATACATTTTAAAGTACAAACACCATTCAAAACTTTCCAAATAGGTTCAGCCATTTTAAGAAGACCAACCCAGCCCAGTGGAAAAGCTCAAAACTATTAACTTGAAATTTAGTTGGGCCTCACTTTCTTTTTTATGCGAATCCCATGCTTCTTGATCCTTTTGTCTTTCCCTTTATTCTTATTATGAACTGATGAATCCAGCAGGTATTAATACATAGAACTTTGTCATGATCAGTTATACTCATTAAATTTGTAAATATATTTGTGCATGAAACGTCCTGGATGTTAAAGATGTTTTGCCGGGGCTCTTTGGCGTATCTCATACCTGTTAGGAACAAGACAATAATAAAGGAAAGAATAAAGGAGAGAAAAATAAACGACACAAGAATTTTAACGTGGTTCGGCTAAAATATGTATGCCTACGTCCACGACTACACTAGGAAGTATTTTTATTTCTGTGTATATCTCAAACTTTACATAGGGTTGCTTATATAACAAAATAGAGAACCTCATCTCACAATCCTAATCGATGTGGGACTAAATCAAGCACCATAATACTAACAATTCTCCCACTTGGAGTTTGATTTACGTTACCACCTAGTGTAGTGCCTTCATCATCAATTTGCTCGAAGGCCAGTTGAGGCAATGCAAAGCCTCAACTTAGTTGTTGTAACAGTCTTGGTCAACATATCGACGGATTCTCTCGCACCTGAATCTTCAACAAACTCAAGTCTCCATCATTTATCGGTTTCGATAAAATGATACTTCAATTCAATGTGCTTACATCTGGAATGAAGGATTGGATTTTTAGCAAGACAAATAGCACTTTGATCGTCACTAAACAACGGAGAACCATCTTGTTCTCTTCCTAATTCTTTTAGAAGGTTCTTCAACCATATCATCTCCTTCGCCGCTTCGAGATAGCTACATACTCGCTTCAGTGGTTGAGAGAGAGACCCTTCCTTGAAGTTTAGACTTCCAACCGATAGCTGTACCACCCAATGTAAAAATATAACCCGTTGTGCTCTTTCTACCGTCAAGATCACCTCCCAAGTCCGCATCGAAAACCCCGTAAAATGAGATTACTTCTCTTGAAAGACAAATGCATCTTTGAAGTGCCTTTCAAATATCCGAATATCCACTTCACTCCTTCCCAATGCTCCTTTCCTGGATTTGATAGAAATCTGCTCACAACTCCCACCGCATGTGCTATGTCCGTCCGGTGCAAACCATAGCATACATCAAGCTTCCTACTGCAGATGCATATGGCACTTTAGACATGTGACTTTCTTCTTCTTCTGTTTGAGAAGATTGCCTCTTTGAAAACTTTAAGTGAGTTCCCAAAGGTGTATTCCTGGTTTTAGCATTCCCAACATTGAATCTGCTAAGCAATTTTTCTATATATTTTTCTTGAGATAAGTTCAAAATACCTTTATCTCTATCTCGGGAGATTCTCATACCAAGAATTTGCTTGGCTGAACCAAGATCCTTCATTTCAAAGCTCTCTGACAATTGTTTCTTCAACTTGTCAATTTCTGCCATATTAGCTCCAACAATCAACATGTCGTCAACATATAAGGCAAGAATGATATAACTATCAACATATTTCTTCACATAACAACATTGTTAGGATCGAGCGCTTACCACTAGGCCAAAAGCTATAGCCTTTAGTCAGAGCGCAACTCTTTTTACTTAAGAGTAACAGCCCAAGCGCCACGATTCGATTGTGACTCGGCCCACCCGGCCTCTGCCACAGGACAATTGATGCTACCTGCAACAATCTCCCCCTCAGCAATTGTCCTACGAGGAATCCCACTTGGATTGTGACTTGGCCCATCTAGCCTACGCCACCGATTGTGACTTGGCCCACCTGGCCTGCGCCACGGGACAATTGTGCAACCTGCAACAATCTCCCCCTTAACAATTGTCCACCAGGAATCGAACTCGTGACCTTGGCTCTGATACCAATTGTTAGGATCGAGCGCTTACCACTAGGCCAAAAGCTATAGCCATTAGTCAGAGCGCAACTCTTTTTACTTTAACGACCTAAGCGCCACGATTCAATTGTGACTCGGCCCACTCGACCTTCGTCACAGGACAATTGATGCTACCCGCAACAATCTCCCCTCAGCAATTGTCCTACAAGGTATCCCACTCTTGGATTGTGACTTGGCCCACCCGCCTCCGCCACGGACAATTGTGCAACCTCGCAACAATCTCCCCTCAACAATTGCCCACCAGGAATCGAACTCGTGACCTTGGCTCGATACCAATTGTTAGGATCGAGCGCTTACCACTAGGCCAAAAGCTATAGCCTTTAGTCGAGCGCAACTCTTTTTACTTAAGAGTAATGACTCAAGCGCCACGATTCGATTGTGACTCCGCCCGACCTGCCGCCACAGGACAATTGATGCTACCCGCAACAATCTCCCCTCAGCAATTGTCCTACGAGGAATCCCACTTGGATTGTGACTTGGCCCATCTAGGCTACGCCACCGATCGTGACTTGGCCCACCTGGCCTGCGCCACGGGACAATTGTGCAACCTGCAACAATCTCCCCCTTAACAATTGCCCACCAGGAATCGAACTCGTGACCTTGGCTCTGATACCAATTGTTAGGAACAAGACAATAATAAAGGAAAGAATAAAGGAGAGAAAAATAAACGACACAAGAATTTTAACGTGGTTCGGCTAAAATATGTATGCCTACGTCCACGACTACACTAGGAAGTATTTTTATTTCTGTGTATATCTCAAACTTTACATAGGGTTGCTTATATAACAAAATAGAGAACCTCATCTCACAATCCTAATCGATGTGGGACTAAATCAAGCACCATAATACTAACAATACCCACATAGGTTAGAACAATGAGATTTTGTTTCATATATTCTTCATGCATTGTCAGGTTGACTACATAATTCACCTTGGGGCTTATGCTTCTTTTTTCTAGTTGATATCTTTTATTCCAATTTTGAAAACCTTGTAACAGAATATATATGTATTCCTCTGAGCACAGCTTGCTGGAAAAAATTCCCATCATATTATTGAGGTTTCCTTTAAGAATAAGTGTAATATGATTTGTATTAATATGGAATTGGATAAAGAATAGGTTGTAACGTATCAAAAGACTCAATTTTCCCTGGCTTCTCTAGCAAAACTAGCAAGCAAAGATCAGATGAAAAAAATAAAGCTCAATAAATTTTTGGTACTAAATTAATTTGAATGAATAATAATTTTGCTTAATTACACATGCCATCTAGCATCCAGGGAGTTAAAATGGTGTTTTTTCCTCAACACTTCGAAAGATGTTCTACAAAAATTCTTCAGCTGTATTTAGATAATCTAATATTTCAGACTTAACTTCCTGCGACAGTGGAGCTGATGGCCCTGCTTTTGAGTAAAAGTTTGCCAAAGATCTTATTACTTTCTCCAAAATAACATATGATTCCTGCAAGGCATTAAAAACATGATCATATATATCTACATATAGATATGTACATATCTTTAAAAGGGTAATCTGCAACAAAATTTCCACAGATTAATAGTCAAGTTCATTGAATTTTCATTGCTTAAAGAGTTTCAGGCAGAAATCCATACTTCTTGCACAATAGTTTGATTTCCCCTCCAACTGCCCAAATACTCCCGAATTGACTCCTTTGCCGAATCCGCAGTCCGTCTAAATTTGGCCATATCATCAGTGGTTTCATTTAAGGATTCACGCAGTGTTTTCACTACTTCTCTTGCTGTCTTTAAGTAAGCCTTTGGCAACACCTTTCCCGACTTTGTTTTCTCATTAGGATCAAAGAATGATTTGATGGCCCCAATAATCCCTTTATCTTCTTCCTCTTTGTCACCAGACTTCTCTTCGGCCCATACCAATGATGGTGATAAACCATATGTCAAGGTAACCAATGAAGGGCCAACACTGACTAAAAGATGCCTGCGACTTGATGAAGCTTCCAGAGGAGGTAATGCAATATTAGACCTGGATTTCAGTTTATCTGTTATGTTGCAGAAGTTGTCAATAAATGAAGGACATACTGTACTTAGTATATCATCTTGTCCTCACAAATTATACATGATATTGTTATAAATTATATTCTCTTTTTCCTTCATGTCAGAATAAGTCATTCTCTCTGTGTAATCAATCAGAAAATAACAATTCAAAAGAATTATGTAATCCCTTTACCATGACAAATAGTGAAACAGGAACCTCGAGGAAGAAGAATAATAATACAGAAACAGCAAACATATAATTACTAAGCTATGATTGGAAACATGTTCACCCGGAACAAATCATGTCAAAATGGTTAGATGATGCAAAAACTACGACTACAAACATAAGGTGTCACCAAGCATGCACTAAAGCAAAAAGGAAAAAATAAAAATTTTTGTAATTTGAGGACACACCTTCAATATAAAATCTTTTGTTCCTTTCAGCCGTCTTGGAATTTGTAATCGAACACATATTTGGTGCAAGGATAATTGTCATCCTCCTTTTGTAAATTTCCACAATGAAGAGCTACATCCACTAAATACACGAGGTAGCAGTAATCTCATCAATCAAGCTAGTTAAGAGAAACATTCCACCTAGTTAATGATAATATTTTTCTGGCGTGTATAACTTGTTATACAATTTAACCGAAACTTGCACACATGTTCACACAAACACACGTTGATACATAACTAATTACCCTCCCCACTCCTTCCGCCCCACAGATCTGCCCACTTCCACCCAGCCCACCCCCGCGGCACCGCCAAGCGCAAAAATTCGGATTAAAAACAAATCTGCAATGTGCTGTATAAATTCAAGAAACATGCACTAGCAACTAGCAAACAACTTCCGGGTGAAACAATGAACCGTTCAAGAATCGGTATCATAAATCACAGTAAAATTCCAAAAAAATTAAGCACATTGTAGAATTTAACGGCTGGAATAACTGAACAAACACTCAGAAAATAATAGCGTTTCACATTCCGGCAATACCTATTCTTAAAGCTTATATCAGCCATTGAAGAAAGGTACTGTATGTTCCCTCACATTCCTTTCCAAAGTAATCCAAGGCTTCGAAATAAAAAAACTCAGCAGAGGGGCGAGGGGTAAAACGGGAAAATATAATTCGCGAGTGAAAATGCGGCTCCACTTTCTAGGCTGGGAGAGAGTGTTTGCTACGGATAAGAGAAGAGCAAGCTCATGACCGGAGAGCGTGACACGGTGCGGTGGTTTTGCAGGGAAAAAGGATACTCGTATGAGTTCAAAGGAGACCGAAGCGACACATAAATTTCGAGAAATGGCCAAAACAATGGAGGAAAGGAAGAAAATAAACAAATAGAGGAGTGATGAAAACGCACCTAACTTGCTGTGACTCTTCTCCCTTGCTATGCTGCCCCCTCCTTCTCTTTCTTTTTTAACAGGACTCCCCCTCTTTACAGGTCAAAACGAGGATAGAGTGTCTCCATCAGTTGGGCTCTTTTTAAATAAAGTTATATCTTACGAGTTTTTATTAGAAACATGAATGTAAGAAAACAAATATTATTATATATTTATAATTCTCATCTAATTTTGGATATCTTTTATATATTTTCTATTTTAGTTTATTTAAAAAATATATAACATATTAGAGTTAAAAAAATGACAATATATAAAAGATTAACCTATAGATAATATCTTACGTACAAGAGATACAATTTGATATACAAATAATTATTTTATAACATATAATTATAATATTAATTTTAGCATATTATTAAAAATAATTCATATAAATGATTATCAAGATATACTTTTCATACAAATTTAATATGTAAAAAAATTAATTTATTAGCTTTAGTTTTTGTACATGATGACAGTGATGTCTTGGTAACCCTCACCCCAAAATAAAAGGAGAATTATATATTCACAACCTATTGTTATATATATATATATATATATATATATATATATATATATATATATATATATATATATATATATATATATATATATAACATCAATTTTTATTAATATAATAATATTAATAATAATAAAAATATTTATATTTTTAATTTTTTCTTTTTTTTTCTCACACATCAAAATTATATATAAAATGTTTGGGAAATTGGATTATAAAAAATAATTTTTCTGAATAAAAATGTGACGTTGAGCTTCTTGGTACCACCTTATCTGTTTCCTTTCTTAATAGTTTTTTTTTTTTTTTTACACAATACTCGTGGAACCCACCTTGTAAAGTTGAGAATGGAAGGAATATTAAAGCAGAGAAAGCAGAGCCCAGCATTGAAAGTAAGCCGGTTTGGCAAAGATCCCCTCCAACCTCCTCCCCGCAGGATGGCCGGCGGCAACCATCCCAAGTCCTCTCTCCACAACAAGCCTCCGCCATCCGCCATCCGGCGGCGATGCCACCCTCAAGCGTGAGTTGGTGGACCCCCTGAGAGGAGGCCCTCCAAGCACTCGAGGTACGACGCTTTGAAGAAAGCCGTTGTTAACTTTGCGAAGCTCATCAACGATAATGTCCCACAGAAGAGGAGTTAATTGGAGGATGGGAAGCAGGGACGCCTTCATTGTCTTGCTTGTGGAACTGGCAGGTTTGGTGCAATTCACATCATTACCTTGTTTCTTCCATATATGTCTTGTTGTGGTGTATTTATTTATAGCCTTAAAAGGAAAGTAGTAGTTGATGGTCTTGAGGGTGATATGCAGCTTCGATAGCTTCAGGCGATAGGCTTAAAAAAAATAGATGAACCAAAAGGAGGAGGGAATTGTAAACTGAGAATATTTTGCGTTATTTTCCGTACAAGTTGACTATTCAACCTTAGCATAACTATCTTTTGTAGAAGTGATAGAACCACAAACTTTAATTTGTTAGGTGTGTATAAACTTATTCGCCTTAAATTAAGCAAGTCTTCGGGATATAATAATTTTTTATTTATTTCTGAAAATCTCCAAAACTATAAAAAAAACTCTTAAAAGAATAAATAAATTGTGAGTAGAACAAGAAGAAAACACATAATAAATTCAGAGTAGAAAAAAAGATGAGAGAGTAAATAAACCTAAGATAATAATAGAACAAGAAAGAAAAAAAAAGAGAAGATGAGAGAGGTATATCTTGAAAAGTGTAAAATAGTTTCTATTTGTAAGTGTAGATTGGATCCAAAACCTAACTACCTAGTTCTCAGTAAAGTTCTATGTAATGTTCTTAGTAAAGTTTTCTGTAATATTCTAAGTTTTGTAATACCCCTTATTTTACTACAGTCCCTCACATATTGTAAAACAAAAGAGATAAAGAATAAAAGAAGAAAAACTTGGGTCTCATATAAGATGTAATGCATCAGAGCTGGTATAACAAGTTATATGAATCAGTTTTAGATTGAAAAACTTAACACACAGTGTAGTTGGTGTAGCAAGCTATATGAACCAAAACACTTAGTGTGTATTAGCGGTCTAACAATCACAATACACCCCCACAATTCTTGTTGTTATCGCTGTGTTACGCTTACTAGGCTATACACGTGTCCGGTATTCATGAGTGTTATAGAAATCTTGCAAATATTTCATACCAACGACCCCACTCGACACTTATATAGGTGACTTCATCAAGCGTATGCTGCAAATCATACACCACCTGTAAGTGATATGAAATCGTTAAAAACTTTGTTTTGACTAAAATTCGTACACCACATAGAATTTTAATTACAAAGTTTAACCTTTCAATGATGCAGTATCTAACACTTTCACATATATATCATAGGAATAGACATAATTGATTTTAATCAATTTTAGTACTAGTAAAACTAACAAGTGACTTGTTTTTATCCCTATGAACCTTGTTCATGAGATCTCCAATCACAAAGATTGAGTTACCATCACCTGTTTGTTTGCAAGTTGCTTAAGTCACATTCCCCTTAATGTTTCTAAAATCATATTTCTCGCTAAGGATTTTGTCAGAGGATCTGCTAGATTCCGTTCTGACTTCACATAATTAATGGAAATTGATCCATTCTTTAGCAGCTGTTTCACTAAATTATGTTTCAATTATATATGTCTATTTTTTCATTGTAGTTCTTATTTTTAGTTATAGTTATTGCCGATTGGCAATCACAGTGACAGACGGGATCATTTTCATTCCTAATGGAATGTTTGCTAAGAAGTTTTTCAACCACTCAGCTTCACTACCAGCCATTTCGTGAGCAACAAATTCAGATTTCATTGTTGATCTTGCAATAATTGTTTGCCTGACTGATTTTCATGTAATCTCATCACCCCCGAATGTGAATACATAACCACTAGTGAATTTTGTCTCATCTGAATCAGAGATCCAATTTGCATCACTGTATTCTTTTAGTATAGCGGGAAATCCACTATATTCAATGACATAATTCATTGAATCTCTTAATTATCTCATCTTGCAAGTGCATTTCAATGTTCTTGAGTAGGATATTGAATGTACCTACTCAGTCTATCTACTACATAAGCAATGTCAGGTCTTGAAAAACTCATTAAATGCAGTAAGCTCCCAATTACGTGTGCATATTGAGGTTGAGTCTCCTCTATTTTTTTTTTATTAACTTAAAGTTAGTGTCATAAGGGGTATTCACTAGTTTGACGTTATAACGCTTAAACTTCCTAAAAAGTTTCTCAATGTATTATTCTTGGGATAGTAAAATATTGTTGTTCTTCCTTATGATTTTAACTCCCAAAATCACATTGGTTTCACCCATGTCTTTCATTTTAAATTTAGATCCCAGAAACATCTTAGTTTTGAAGACAATGTCAATGCATGTACCAAATATTAACATGTCATGTACATATAAACATATAATGACACATTCACCACTCTCAAATTTAGAGTACACACATCTATCAGCATTATCATTATTAGTTGAAAAACCATTACAAAGTATAACACTATCAAGTTTTTCATGCCACTGTTTTGGTACTTGTTTTAATCCATACAAAGATTTTAAAAGTTTGCACACTTGTTCTCTTAACCAGGAATAACACACCCTTGAGGTTGAGTTATATAAATTTCCTCCTCTAATTCACCATTCAAAAAGACTGTCTTAACATCTATTTTGTGTATAACCCGCTTATGGTAACTGCTAGAGCTAACAAAACTCAAATAGAGAAAATCCTAGTCACAGGGGCAAAGGTCTCAAAATAATCAATATTGAACTTTTGAGTAAAACCCTTTGCTACTAATCTTGCCTTATATTTATCTATCTTGCCTTATATTTATCTATGGATCCATTAGGATGATACTTTTCTTAAAGATCCACTTATAACTAATAGGTTTTGTTCCTTCAGGCAAATCTATTAAAGTCCGAGTATTATTTTTGTTAATTGAATCAATTTCAGTCTTAATAGCCTTATCCCAATGTATTGCATCAGGAGCCCTAGTAGCCTCTAAAAAACTCATTGGAAGTGTAGAAATCATTTCCAAAAGAAGTTTCATTCCTCTATCTTTTACTTCTTCTCAAATCCTCATATACTTTGTTACTATTAATATCTATAGATTGTTTAGGTGTCTCACTAACCTTTAGAGGAAGAATATGTTCAAAGAACTTAACATTTTTTGTCTTCACTATAGTAGTATGCTCAATTACATTACTTTTGAGGACGAGAAACCTATAGAACATTATGTTCTGCATAGCCTAAGAATAACAATCAGAAGTTTTATAGTTTATTTTTCTTTTTTAAGGGTTGAGTAACATTACCTTAGCTAGACACCCCCACACTCTTAGATATTTAAGATTAGGTTTATAACCTCTCCATAACTCATAAGGAATTTTACCAGTTTTCTTAAAAATACACTGTAAGTATATCTTCTCTCAAAGATTATTTGGTGCACTAGAGTTGTTTGATTAAGTTTACTTTGGTGTATCTAGTCATCTATAAATGTCACATATCATATGAATTATATGAATTAATAATAAAAGCAGAAGAACAAGATTCATTAATAATTTCATATGTTAAGTACAAAAAGACTTTAGTCACAATATCCTTTCCCTATAAATACATTTTTTTAATTTTTATTTTTATTTTTTCATAACAATCTTATCAAATTCGAATGACACTTTAACCCCAACTTTTCCCAGCAATGCTTCAGAGATTATATTAGCTCTAATTAATGGCACATGTAGCACATCACTCAAGACCAGAGTCTTTCTAGATGTGAGCTTTAAAAGAATTTTTCATTTTCCTAAGACAAGAGTTGTCCTGGAGGTAAAAACACTTCTGATTGCACATATATACTAGTAGCACCAGAGTCTACCACTCATTTGCTCACCTTTGTCACAAGGTTTATTTGGGAAACGACCGTAATAATTGTATCTTCTCCTATGACTAAATTTGTCTTAGGAGGATTGTCGTTTCTTATTCTATATTTGCACTGAGGGATATGATGACCTAACTTTCCATAGGCAAAATAATTTTCCTTCTTGAAGATAAAATGGGGTTAGATCCATTGCTTTCATATAATCTCTAACCCTTAAACCTTTTTTATACGTATGTACAAAATAATATGTGGACAAAATAATATCTTATACGTATAAAATAATATGTAGATCTAAGTCATGTTAATTGTTCACTACCAAAACAAATATCTCACAACATATAATACTCATGCATAATTCATTTTTCCTATTCCATTGGTGTAATAAATCCAAAAAAGGAACCTGTGTTTGACACGTATGCTTTGTGGACAAACTGCATGATGTATGCGGATAGCACTTGATATAAAAGTTTACTTTTCTTCCATCATAATTATAACATGAAGTAATCAATTTCATATATGATTCACCTTTAACTCAATCACGTAATTTGCCTTTTTTATTAAAATCTATTACAAGACCATTCACATTTCAACAAGAAGTATATGTCATTTAAATTCAGTGATTATAAAATTAGTTTCAATTTGAAATTGATTGCAGCTTAAAATATATATTAGAATTTATTCAATTTTATGAAAACAAATTTAGGAATTAATTAAGGTTCATTCTAATTTGATAGAAAAATTCCTAAATTCATGATTAAGATTTATCTTAATTTGAAAAAATTATCCTAAAAAGAAAATTATAAATTTAATAACTATGACTTTATACTATATTAGTTAATTTGCAGTTTTCCTAATTTACACTCATATGATAAGATATATGACAACGAGTTAGTTGAAACTTTTGGAGGCACAAAGTTTTGCTTGCCTGAACCAAAGTGGCTGAGCTGGACCCTTTTTGAGCAATATGTTTTTTGCACCAGAGGGACTCCTTTGACTACTTAGGATACAAGGGGACAAAAGATGTGTTGGAATTTGTAAGAGATTAAGGGTTTTTAGTTTTGGAAGATGAATTTTTTTCTGTCTTCTAAACCTGTGCAGCTCATTTGAGTAGTGGAAGTTGATTACATTTTTTTTTTCAGGTTGACAACGCTTACCATTTGGATTTGTCTTGAGCTTATGTTTCGGAAAATATTAGGTTCCTGATCTACTCTTGTTTCTTCCTTTTGTAGCATATTAGGATCATAAAGTACAGTAGTACAACAAAACACCTCTGAACTTTCACTGTTAATTTGCAATCATCAACCATTCTTCTTGCTTTTTTCATTTTAGTCATCCGTCGCCGATATTGCAATACACTTCAGTCTTGTTATCCTGATATGGGTCTTCTCGATTACATCTTAATGTATATCATGAGAATAGGGATGGCAATTAAACCCGTATCCGTGGGGACCGACCCGTCCCCGCCCCGAGTTTGACGGGGAAACCCCGAGTTGACCGGAGGCGGGGTCGGGTTCGGGTTTTTCCCGCTTTAAAAAGTCGGGGGCGGGGGCGGGGATGCGTAATCCCATCCCGACCCCGCCCCCATCCCCGCCCGACTTTATATTTAAATTTAAATTTTAAAATATTAATATTTTAAAAGTATTTCATTTTCTTTTTCTATTACATATAAGGTTATTTTTTTATATTTCACCAATTTTTATTTTTCTTCTACCCACTTTTTAATTTTTTTTATCTTTCTCAATCTTTTATATCAATTAATTTATTATATTATTCTCTCCCTTATCTTTCAGTTTTTCACATTTTCTTAGTCTCTCCCATCAATTTGTTTTTTTTTCAATCTTTTCAACCAATTTGATGAACACAAAGTTAATCTTTTTTCTTTATCTTTTTCTAAATATTTTACATCAGTCTTAGTAGTAACTAATATTAGTTTATTTATAATTTATATTTATTATGCCATATTTTTTTATCTTATTATGCTTATTTATCATATATCAAATTTTATCTTAATAAAATAATTGCATTTTAAAGGATTAAAAGAAATTAATAATTTAAACTTTTATTACTTCAAACTAATTAAATAAGAATTAACTTATTAAATATTTTCTTATAAACTATATATTGACAACTTAAAAATGAATTAACTTATATGTATAATTAAATATTTGAATACAAGTATTATAATAATAATGTTATAAATATTCAAATATTTGAATACGAGTGTTATAATAATAATAATAATAATGTTATAAATATTATATATATATATATATAAATAAAAAATAATTAAATATTTCTTTTACATATATATTTTAATATAAATATAATAAATTAAAATGTATATTTAATTAATAATAACTATAAATTATAAATATTTATTTATATATAAAAATACATAGTAAAATTAATTTATTATAAATATAATTATCTTTTTAAAAATAATATAAATTGGGGACGGGCGAGGCGGGAACCCGAAACCCAGCGGGACGGGGATGGGGACTTAATTCCTAACCCGCGGGATCGAGGCGGGACGGGGATGGTTAAAAAGTCGGGGCGGGGACGGGGAGGCAAAACCCGCCCCGCCCGCCCGTTGCCATGCCTACATGAGAATCATTAAATTTTATGGTTAACCTTCTCATCAATATTTCAATAAAGACTTGTTAATAATTTAGGAACATTTTTTTATAAAATTTCATAAGCCCATTTGCATAACTATGAGACTAAGTTTCTTTGACTTTTTTTTCAAGTTTTATAACAAGTTTTTTCTTTAATTTGGATCTTTTAGGTGAAATTAAAATTATTTATTTCCTTTAAAGAATTTTATCCTATTAAAAACTGAGATAGATGTGTTGAGTAAATATAGAGATAAGAACTAATACTAAAATTAACATATATCTAATAAACATTTATATATAATAATATTCTCTTTTGGAAGACACAAACATAAGCATAATAATACTAGTCACTTTATAATAATAGTGATAATTAAAATATACATAATAATTACTTAGTATTTTTTTTATATAAATAAAATTATTCACCCACGCAATTATTTATTATCATTCTTATACCATCATATTCATTAATTATAATAGTAACTCATCTGATTCAAAAATTTCTTATAATAATAAATTTTAAGTAATTTATAAATCAATTATTCATAATTTTAATATTATATTATGAGTAAATAAAATCATTAATAATTTGAAATTAATTAATTTTAAAATTTTAATTACTTGTATGATTAAGAAAATTTATCATTTTATCAAATCAATAAATATATTTTATTGGTATAATAATATTAATCAGTTATCATATATATTAACTGTAATCTCGCATAATAATAAAAAAATATTAAATTTGGTGCAGGCTAAAAACGCCACCCAATCACTTGATCCAACTAATTATGAATAGTGAACTCATGCATTAATATTTAATGATTAAATATCAATTCAAATTATTTTTTTCATCATTGTTCCATAAGCAAATTAAAATCAATTACAACTTAGTCATTTGTATATATGATAATTAGGTTCATAAATAAATTTAAGAATAAATAAAGGTTCATATTAATTTAAACTATTCTTAAATAATTAAGATTTATCTTAATTTAAAGATTTGAGAATAATAATAAATCTTAATGATTCTCACATATTAACGTATTAACATACATATTGTAAAAAAATTCTTATAATAAAATACATAATCTTAATCTCTTTTATTAATCAACATTTATTAAATTAATTTTCATAAATTTTTATTTTATTTTATTTTTAAATTTATTATCACTTTTATTCTTATGTTTTATTAAATTATATTTTCCCTCATCATAATTAAATTAATTTATTAATTAATTCTACAATGTATTTCAATAAAATATTTATTCTTCTTCTTTAACCGATACCTTTAGATATTAATTAGCATTTGCTTTTTTAACTTATTAAACTTTCTATGTATGACATTTTTTTTTAATTTTTTAACATTATAAAAAAAAAAGTTAAAAGCAGATTGCTCCCCACCAGTTTATTGTTTTTCCCTTGTGTTTTACTTCTTATATTTTAAATATTAAATTAATTAAAATAAAAAAATGACTAAAAATATATTACTGGTAAATACGAGGACTAAAAGTAGATGAAGTCATACATAGAAAAAGAAAATATTCCATCTTGTAAAAATCTTCAATTTTTTATATTATTTTTATCCATTTGAAAGTTAAATATCTTCTCATTATTTAAATTTTAGGAGACAAAATAATAATTTTAATAATAATAATTTTTAAAATATTTAAATTTTATTGGATCGAAAAATATTTTTGTCTCTTAATGGCTGTCAAACTAAAAACAACGGGCGGAAGTAAACCCCCAAAAGCAAAAACGCATCTTGTTTCTGTGCAGATATTGATTTCTGCACTGTGTGCTTTCTGGTAACCTTCATCTCTTTCGTTATTTCCACTCTCTGGGTTTTTGCTAGCTGTTTTTCTTCTATAACCTTCTATTTCTCTTATCCTGTTTAGTTATTCAGTTTAATTATACAATTAAGTCATATGTTTCAACAAGTATCTTATACCATCGAGCTTTACTCCTTGCTCAGCATAACTATATACCCCATTTTGCCTTGAAAAAATAAAAATAAAAGTGGACATGCATTATAGGACAGGAGGCATACCAACCTAGGTACACTGATTACCTTTTCTCTTTGTTCTGTTTTTCTCCCTTCCCTGGAAATAATATGCAATAGCTGGTCCGCTTTGAACCCATACCTATACCATTCCTCCGTTTTTTAATATCTCCTCTTCATCGTCCATTTAAATCTTCTCCATTTTCCTTTACTCTCACTCTCAAGTCCCTCCCCCTTCATTCATCCATCCATTTTAATATTCTCCTTTAGGGGGATGAGTGCTGCGTTAGAATATGGCGGTATACTTGAGATGGAGGAGGGCATTTGGTTTCATTGTGGGCAGGGCTGTGCGGGGATTTTGACTGATATTGGTTATGTTGGATTTTGAGAGTTTGGGGATTAAAGTGATAAACATGCAGGTCTCATCTTGTAACCGCACTTGCATGAACAAAGAGTGTGGAAGCTTCATCCTTTGAAAAGCTATTTGATTTGAATTCTCCTCTCGTTGTGTGGAAGCTTAAAAAATGTCAGCTTCAAGGTTTCTCCTCAGTCATGGCATCCTTTTACGCTCCTCAGATGCCCCTCCTGTCAAAGATTTCCTTGAAACTCACCCAGGTACTTTCAAAATGAGTAATAATTTAGTAAAATAAGTAAATGAACTATAGCAAGATTTTCTTATACCTTGTTTATTTTAAAACTTATTTATCTAACCTCTGGTCTAGGTGCTTACACAACATCACGTACTCACAACAATGCTTCGTGGTTGTTATTTTGGGAAAGGCACATGAAAAGACTTTCAGAATCTATACAAGTTCTATCAAATTTCGCTCCACAGCTTCTATTTAAATCTAATAATTCTGCAGTTTTGTCACGATCATCAGCAACCTTGCCAATATGGCAACCCACTGTGCAGATGCTTGTTGATGATTCGATATGCAAGGTCTTGCCAATTGCTCTAAAAGAAAGAAATGATTGTGAGGAGCTGGCCATTACAACTCTTGTTAGTGGTAATTTCGAGGAATTAAATGCATGTGAAACTGTCAGCGAGGAAAGCGTGAGTAAAATTCTCGATGTGCATATGCATATTGAGACTTATGTACCTCCTACATTTGGTATCCCGAAAAATGGTGTACATTTGGCTTTGGTGGGACATGGGAGGAATGTGGCAGCTGCAAAATATTCAGATTGGGTAAGGTCAGTTTGTGCATTTTGAATTGGAAGCATTTTCCCTTAAATCCTATATAAGGAAAATAGCAGGATATCAATGAATAAATAACTAAGAACTATTCAAAGTTATTTATATAGTCTTAGAAGACCGTTGCTGTTCTCCATCCAATTTGTATTGGCTAAGGTTTTTGCATCTCAACTTCGATCTGATTTGATGTTTTTTTTTAAGAGATGACTTAAGTATTTGATATCCCAGAAATTATTTTGCATCTCTGTGACGATAAAATAAGTTATATATTAATGCTTGGTTGAAACCAAGCCAAGCTTTTCTACTAAAATAACCCCTTTATTTTTTAGTATCTATAACTCCTATAATGAATTGACGATTATCTACTTTTCTTTTAAATTTCATTATTAGTATTTATATCTGCAATTTGCTGTCTTTGACTATGTAAAATTACATATTTATTTCATTTTCTTGCTGCTTGTTGTGCTGATGTTCTTTCTAGTTAATAGTTGAAAATTTTTGCCACAATGCAGGATTAGGAAGCCTCTGGAAAAGCTCAGGCCTCCCTCAGTAACAGAACTGTTGCTGTCAAATGATGGGGATCAAATCCTAGAGGGGTGTGTGACGAATTTTTTTGTGGTTTGCTGTAAGGTGGGCTTATTTTATCTATCAATTTAATTTCTAACTTTCTAGCTTACCATATTCATATTTATGCTAGAGTCTATATGCCTGTCTTTATTATTCAGTTGGCAGTATGGAAATATTCAGAATGAATTCCTATTCTTCGTCATATTGATGAATAGACAGTTCTTGACTACTCGTGGAGTTTCAATCCTTTTTATATATTTCTGTTCTATTTTTAAATTTTATGCTTTCATGATCATTTGATGCTCATTGCAGTCTTGCGACTGCGAAGGTATTGATACCATCATTTGAGTTTCCCTTGCGTTTTTGTTGTGTTTGTTTGTGTGCCTGTTTATGTGCATTGAAACATTTTATGAAATAAACTTATGCATTACTTTGTACTTCTGCTTTTGATAGACAGGCTGTGTGACTTTTACTGTTCATTTCTCGTTTCATTTTAGGTTTGGGATTCAAATGATGGGAAGGCCCTGGGTGATTATAGAAATAAATACTCTATTGAAGTACAAACAGCTCCTATCAGCGATGGTGTTCTTCCAGGAACAATACGCCAACTAGTGCTTGAGTATGATTTGATTATAAATCTTATTGCTTTATTTTCTTTGACTAGAAAGAAACTGTGCCCATGCGTAGAATTTATGTTATTTAATACGGTCTATATAGTTTAACAGTTTGCTTGACATTAGCATAAAATTAGGGCTGTATCTCGTGTTGCTAACAGTAAGAATTAAAACATTGCGTTTTCGTTTTTTTAGTCCTTGAGTAGTCTTCTTATGATATATTTGTCTTGCTTAGTTTAAAGGTGGATGAACTCATTATTTTTCCTTTTTTCTGCCTAAGAAGTTCTATTTATTTATTTTTAACATTCATATGGAGTTCTAAGCCCTATTTCATCAAAGTTATAAACTTAATTCTTAACGTCAGTTTGGTTAGAAGAGAGCCTTGCTTTCTCTAATATTGGGATTCTGTCTTGGCCACAGAGAAATGTTTGTGCGGTAAGATGGAACTAGATTATTAATTTGTCAGGAAGATGTGATGCAAGAAGGGCAAAAGGAATAAAAAGAAATGAGGCTAGAGTATAGGATAGATAGAGACTACTGAGAATTGACTTGCATTATGTGCAGGATATGCAGGAGTGAAGGAATTCCATTTCGAGAAGTTGCTCCATCATGGTCAGAACATGAAATCTGGGAGGAGGCATTCATCACTAGTATTATTTTGACTTTTAAATGTTTTCATTTATTTAGTGTTCAAATGCTTAAGAATTGTATGCTATAATAAACATTATTTCTTCTAGAAATTTCAGTATCTTTCTTGACTGAGTGTCTAATAAGGCCAAAGAGTAGCAGTCTATAACACAGGGAATAACAATCTAACTCCTTTATTTCCTTTTTAAAGTCTATAACATAACTTATGTAATTATGAATTACTACAACTGTCACCTCACCATACGATAAGATTATGATAAAGATAAATATGTCACTTCCTAATAGAGAATTATAACTGCCTAAATCAAATGTTGGCCTATCATATTCTACCATTGACTTGGAACTAATGTCATTGCAGATAGCTTGAGGCTTTTGCAACATGTGGATAGTATTCAGGTACCAACAGAATGGAAATCAGCCCACCATTCTAAAACTTGGAAGGATATATCATGGACAAAAAAGCAATTTCAGGTGGTATATTTCTACTAGTGCTGCAATTAATTCAGTTTATATATATATATATATATATATATATATGTATGTATGTATATGTATGTATGTATTTATGTATGTGTGCATGTGATTTTCTAATGTCAAGTAACTGTAGGATGGACCAGGGATGATCACAACTGTTATCCAGGTAAATTCATTTCTTACTTCTACTTAAATTTAAAAGGGGAAAAGGAAAGCAAAATAAAACACTGATCTTCTACATTATATTTAGCATAATAAAAATTTTTCAAAGTCAAACTTTGCTTGCATTTCTACAATTTCTCATTTCTTAATTATATTTCGCAACAATACAATCGTAAAACCGAAATTCCTATTCTTTTAACCAGGAAAAGATTATGGAGAAAGCAGTTCTGGAAGGATACCCAATAAGTAACATAAATGCATGTTGAAGACCCCACTGTGTTGCATATATGATGGTTTGAAACGGAGAAAAGTTGAAGTATCATGTATGCATGTTGAAGACCCCGCTGAGTTGCTAATATGATGGGATGAAACGGACAGTAGAGGACCTTCACCTTCTTTAGTGGACTTCTGGCAATTACATATTTTCTTTGCTCATCGAAGATACGATGTTATCCCTTGGAACGTGGTCATTTTTTTCCAATGTGAAATCTGAACAACTTCACGAATTAGTTAGAGACAAAACAGAGGGAATCGGACAATAATGGAGAAATCAAATTCTAATACTGAGGTCTAGCACTATTTTATTTTCTCCCTCATAAACTACCTTTGTGAAGATTAATATCCGCTTATCTCTGTTTATATGGAAAATGATTTGAACGAAACAATATAGTGAAAAAAATCTTCTAAAAAAGTAACTTGTTTGTTTTCATTTGTTGAAGAAAAAAATGGGAAACACATCACTTATCAGAGAGCATATATGCTTTACCCAAACAATCCGTGCAAGAGGTTAATTCAAATTGTTTTACATCCCAGGATAAGATTTTTCTGCTGCTGTTCACAATTCAAGATTCATGTGATGGTCATTGACTTCCTGCTCCACCACCATGTTAATTACCATTGTTATTTTTCTGAAAATAACACCAACATTTAGAGGGTCTTAATCACTGAATTTCTAGTTCCCCACTGGCTTATTTTCTGTTCCAATTCACAATTATTTTCAGCTCACTGCTGGTGTTATTAGTCCCTCTAAATGTCATAAATCCATCATGCTGTGTCTTATCCCCACCGCTTCGTGTTCACCACCTTCAGTCACAAACCTGGGCACACTACTTGGATCATTTTATTCAATAATTACAATTAACATCACAAATTTCAATAGTTTTTGGGATACCTTTATATTCCAACTTCTTTATCGAATTTAAAGACATTAATGAAAAACACCCATTTTAAAAACTTATATAACATGTGCATTGATACAGCATTTTTTTAAGCGGCGCATGGGTTGACCATTTTTTTAAGCGGCCCTGTGGGATTTCTTGTGGACAACAGTTATTCAAAACTACTTCAACTGAAAATTATTTATTTTAAATCTAAATTATGGGATGACACTTTGAAAACATTAAAATTGTGGTTCTTTGTGACTTAAATATTACGCTTCCATATTAGTATACTCCTCTTTAAAGGGTAGCGGAAGCAGCCACGTTACCTATTCTAAGTGGGTCACCAGCACAAACCATCCGTGATGGGGTTCACAGGCAAAAAATGTTCACAAATGAGACCAACAAAAATCAATCTTATATTTATATTTTTATCTCTTCTTATATTTTCATATGTATTCGAGAAGACAATAAAATTCTAATTTGTTTCATGGAACTACTGATCCAAAAAGTATAGTATCATTTGGAGTGTTTTGGATTGAAAATAACAAATAAATAAATTCAAAACACATCTTATTTTTTCAAGTTATAGATTATGAAATCCAAAACATAATTTTATTATTCCGAAAACACCAATCCAAAAAGTTAAATTTAGTAATGATTTTTTACAGAACATAATTTCATTATATTTAAAAAGGTTAATCTGGAATATTTTTAGAAATTTGATTTCGAGACATTTTTGAAAAGCTTGTAAAAAAATCACTTTGAAATATTTTTGAAAAACTGATTTTAGAATGCATTCAGAGAGCTTAGGAAAGACCAATCCAAAATATTTTTGAAAAGTTTCCGAGAAGAGTAATCCAAATTACTTCTTTTAATCCGACATTATATTTATAAGTCTTTTTCATATATTACTCAAATTTTTATTTTATTTTTACATAATAACAACTCATGCTTAAATAACAACATAACTTAGCTTCCCAAACAAATATCATAACTTGCTTGCGTCCTCTAAACTACATGCATTCTTCTATCTACATTATTAGTAAAATAAAAGCATATATATAAAAGGTAATATAAAATGTACAAAATATGTGGAATTGAGCTATTTTTGGTTTGCTTTATTTTTTTTCTCTCAATAGAAATGTTTAAAATCATAAGTAAAAGAAAAATATTTTTATTTTAATTACAAATATGTCATTAATTCTCACCTTTTTCTGTTTTTAAATTTTGTATAAGAAACTATGAAAGTAGGATTAAAAAAAATTCATTATTTCTTATACAACATTTTAGAAGTAGGACAAACACTAAAATAAAGTGTCCCTTTTGTAATTAAAAAAAAAAACACTGCTTACCAAGAATAAAAATATTATAAAAAATACTTGTTATTTTTGCTTTTTCCTTACAACTTTTGAAGCAAAAAGAAAAATAAAATGTAAGGATTACAAGCTGTGCTCCGCTTCCAAGCGAACCAAAAGGGATTCATGTAAGTCAACAAAAATCTGGCAGCAAGACAAGAGAAATTTGTCTGTTATCAGATGAACCAGGTTTCGAGTTCTTAAAAAAAAACAGTAAAAAAATGAAAATGTCACATGCGAATATGGTAACAGTATTGAACTTTGTCTTTAATCTCATCGACAAAATTAGACTTCAATTATTGTATGGAAAATATATGTGAAGTGTGCTACTGCTACTTGAAGAAATCGAACCAATAAATTATGATTTTATTCTTCTGGTTCCATGTCTTGTTGTGGACACAGTGCATCTGTAGAAACCGTGTTGGATCAAAGCATCCGTAACATAATCCAAGTCCAAAGATTAGAATATCTCTACATAGACAAACATAACTCCTGGAATATTAGATGCTTTGATTTTAATATTACTTTTTCTTAAATTACACTTATCTCGTTGTCTTTAATTCTTGCCTTTTGAGATGTTAATCTTCACTGAATCACCTCATACTGAGACTGATTTGGAAGAAAGGACAACACTAATGTTTTTCTTTTTCTTAAAAAAGTGTTAGTTTCATAAGAGAATTATTTGGCACGTTGCTGAAGAGACACAACCCTACTTGGTTTAGAGGCATACAGCAATAAACAACTTCGAGTTTTCTGCATAAATTATGGTACTGATAGAGTTTAACAGACCGTCACACGCTAGATTAAGTAGGTTTGAATTTTCACATAAAAAATGCAAGTTAAAGTAAGAGATAGTGATTGTTAACTTGGTATCACTACTATATATATATATATATATATATATATATATATATATATATATATATATATATATATATATAGAGAGAGAGAGAGAGAGAGAGAGAGAGAGAGAGAGAACAATTTAACCATCATTTACATGTTTATTTCATTGTGAGTTTTGAAGAGTTGATTTTGATAGAACTGTTTTAAAATTATATTATAACATGAAGTTTCTTGGGTAAAAATGTTTTGGAAAAAAATATATTTTAGTTCTTCTAAACAGGTTAAAGTTAACGTGCATCAGTTATTTTTTATGGACAACCAAACATATTAGTTTCTTTTTCTTAAGAAGTCAATTGACCAATTTTTAATGAAAATATAAGAATTTAAAATATATTTTTTAAGTTTTACTTACAAAGTGTTTATACTTTTTATTTTAACAAAATAGACCTAAAAGCACAAATGGTTGCTAAATTGGTGCCCTTATCTGGCACCGGCCTTCATAGCTTCCTAGAGACCACTTTAAATTTTTAGGTCTCTTTTTGGATGGAAAACTTACTATCAAGATTAGGTTAAGGGTTTATTTGATTTTGTTATTATAAACATTTGTAAAACGTATAATAAAAAAAATCTATAATATTGTTTATAATATGAAAAAATCATTTTTTTTTCTTTCTCCTCAAAGTGTTTGTATAAAAATTCATCTAATTAAACCTTAAACTCTAGCAAGAAATAACTAATTTCTCATAAAAAAGAGAGTACATTTTAATGCTAATCTTGATGTTTATTTATGTTATTTCATAAAGTATCCACGGAATTTATTCATAATTAATGTTTATCATAAATAGAATTTTTCTTTCAAAACATAATTTTATTTTATCTATGGACTCAAATATATATATATATATATATATATATATATATATATATATATATATATATATATATATAACTTTGCTTAAAATATTCGAGTTTTCATTACAGTATCTTTTTACTATTAGATAATATAATTATACATATATAATTACTTAAATGAATATATGATTATTAAGATAATATTTTCAAAATGGAAATGATTGTATAAAAAAACCATTGAAATGATAAAATTAATTAAAAAAATATTAAAGTCATCTCCGATATTTCGCTTTAAATTGTTTAAAAAAATTTATGACTTGAGCAAATATACCCATTACTGTTTGTATAAGTAACACTGCTTAAAAAATTATGAATAAAATATGTTTATGTTCTAAAGAACATAAATTAATATATATATTAAATATACAAGGTCAATTATAAAACACTTAAATTTTAATATTTTAAAATTTTAAAAATACTTAAATTTACTTGACATGGTAAGTTTATAAAATTAAATTATCAATAACACAATCTTTTAGATATACTATTATACCGAAATTGACTTTTTTTTTAATTAGAATTTTTTTGAAATGTAAATTAGACACTAACTTCTTGTATACGAAATTTTATTTAAGGAAACAAAAGTTCTTTCATCGTGTAAATTTGAAACCAAAATTTGATTGATTTAGATAATTTTATAATAATGAAACAGAGAAATATAATACCGTTAAAACACACATGAAAACAATAAACTAAAAAAGGAAAGACATTCGAATTTGTTTTTTTATTTTAGAAATTAAAATATAATTGAAAAAAAACAAATATAAAAAAGAGAGTAATTAAACAAATTTTTTAGTTTTTATAAAAAAGGACAATTATTTTTAAAAATAGTAAATAAACAATTCTTAATTTTTTAAAATTTTTATTTTCTCGTTCCACCTCATTTTAACATTAAATATTTTATTCGTAATGTAAATCGTTTTTATTGTTGAATTAACTATTTATAGATATTTAAGTCACTTAAAAAAATTATTTACATGTTGCATAATTCAACAGTTAAAATGACAAAAGAAAATTAAACATATTAAATTTGGTATCAATTAATCCTATCATCACTCTTATTTGAAAAAAAAAATCTTGGGAAAGAATTTAGAATCCAGATAAAACTTGATGAATAATTATAAATTACAGAAAAATAAAAAAATAAAATTTGAGGTTGAAAAGCAATTGGCTAGAGAAAATCCTCAAGCGTGGTCAACATAAAGGGTAGGCCTACCTAGAATTCAATTCCACTGGTCCCCTTTTCTTTGGGCCACCCACTCATTTATTAACCAATTATCTTCATGCTTCCTATTCACTGAAGATAACATATAAAAGAAAAGAATGTAATATGAAAATCTAAAACCATTACGAAAATAGATTTCTACATCTTTTTCATTTATATATTTATTTATCAATCAGCGACCTCTCACTTGAAAATACTTTTGTACACGTTTCAATTTTAGAGACTAGTTCGGTGATCAATCGACCAACCATTGGGTGCAACTTTTTGGTTCATCCTAACTCAAAATTTTGTAGACTACCTTTTGTCCACAGTGGAGAACTAAATAAAGAACGCACCTTTAGAGAGAAGTAACGTTGAGGGCATGGCCAAATCTAAACAAGTTGATCAAATTCACTAAAAATAGTAAAAATAATTCCCAGCTAGAGAGGTTTTCAAAATTTTCAATGATGAAATAAAGTCTTACCTTCCCATAAATGCACAGTACCCAAATTCCCCTCCCGTGCTTAGAGCACCACATAAAATGTTTGTTTAATATGGAAGCCTATAAAACATTGATTGGTCCATGCAGTGCAAGCTGTTGCATTTAGAGAGTGATAATGGTTTTACAGCTCGTGATGAGATGTAAAAAGAGGAGGCTAGAAGAAAGGGAGTGAGAGAGTGTGTGTTTGTCAGTTACTGTCAGAGAAGCGTGGTGGTAGATTAGAGGTATGCCTGAGGTATCACTCTCCAACCTTGTGAAACATTTGCCTTGTTGTTTAGGTTAGTTGGCACTTGGCAATAACTTTGTCCTTTTCATGGACCTTCCTAGGCTCTTTCTCTCTCTCTTCCCGGATTCTCCCTGTATCCACAGAAAACCAAATAATTAGTTATAACAGTTTCCTATATTCCTTGTATATGCATAGACAAAACTACTATTTTTTCTTTCTTTTTTTTTTCTCGTGTTCATTGTCTCCCTCACTCTCACAGAAGAGGAAGGTCTTTATAAATAAAAGCAAAGGAGAGAACTGATAATAAGAAACAAAGCATGAATGGTGCTGCATGTGTTGAGGCAGAGTGCTGCGAGTTTGTGGAAGTTGATCCTACAGGGAGATATGGAAGAGTATATATACTTTTCCTTCACTCAAACTCTTGTTAGTTCTTTATTTCCAATTCTTTGTTCTGATTCCGGGATTTGAATTTCATGTTTGGCAGTACAATGAAATTCTTGGCAAAGGAGCTTCAAAGACAGTGTATGCATGATATCCTTAATCTCTTGGTTTTCAGCGTACCCATCTCACAATTTGCCAAACAAAATCTTTTAACTGCTTGAGATGTTCTTCTTTTTGTTGTTTGAGTGAAACAGTAATGGGGTTTCAACAAAATGAGTTTTTATTCTTCTTTTCTTTTTTGAATGAGACCATTTTCATTTGTTGCAGTTATAGAGCATTTGATGAGTATGAAGGGATAGAAGTAGCATGGAATCAAGTAAAACTTTATGACTTTTTGCAGAATCCTGAAGATCTTGAGAGGTTGTACAGTGAAATCCATCTTCTCAAGACATTGAAACACAAGAACATCATGAAGTTCTATACTTCCTGGGTTGATACTTCCAACAGACACATTAATTTTGTCACTGAGATGTTTACATCCGGGACTCTAAGACAGTAAGCCCTCTCCTTATCTTCTATACATGCATGTGTGTATGTATATATTCCATTCAATAATTTATTCGGGTGATTCTAGCTTCTGCTTCTTCTTTTGCTTATTATATTTATTGTGTGAGCAGGTACAGACTTAAACACAGACGGGTTAACATCAGAGCTGTTAAGCGTTGGTGTAGGCAGATTTTGGAAGGGCTTCTGTATCTGCACAGCCGTGATCCTCCTGTGATCCATAGAGATCTCAAGTGTGATAACATTTTCATCAATGGCAACCAAGGGGAAGTCAAGATTGGTGATCTTGGCCTTGCTGCGATTCTCCTCAAATCTAATGCTGCTCGTTGTGTTGGTGCGTAAAAAAGCAGCATGAAAGCCTTTGATTGTATTACAAAAGTTGAATATGAAAATGTTACTTTTCACTATGACAATTAGTTCTCTATGCCTTCACAGTTTACCAGTTTAAGACTCTGTATTTACTTTTTTCTTCTTTGTTCTACTCCAGGCACACCTGAGTTCATGGCTCCGGAAGTGTATGAAGAGGATTACAATGAGTTGGTTGACATATACTCTTTTGGAATGTGCATCTTAGAGATGGTCACTTTTGAATATCCTTACAGTGAATGCAATCATCCTGCTCAAATTTACAAGAAAGTTGTATCTGTATGAAGCAAAAGTTGTTCTTTTATTTAATTTTCCTTGATTCACGATCCTATTTTTATGGTTCTTTATCATTGTTCTCTTATTTGCATGCATATTTTACAGGGGAAGAAACCGGAAGCTCTTTACAAGGTAGTTAATCCTGAGGTAAGGCAGTTTGTAGAGAAATGCTTAGCAACTGTGTCCCTCAGACTTTCAGCTAAGGAACTCTTGGAGGATCCTTTTCTCCAAATTGATGATTATGGATTTGACTCAAAATTAGTGCAGTATCAAAGAGACTGCTATGAAGTAACCTCATTAATCAGACAGCCTTTGAATGGAATTTATAGCATTAACAACACCTCAACAAGTGGGTATACTGATAATCTTGGTGGTTATGGACCGGTATCTGAATTGGATTATCGTCAAGACGATTTTGAAACGAGTGAAACCGGTCTCTTCGATTGTGAAGAGGATGACAATTTGGCTGAAATTGATTCCACAATCGAAGGTAGGAAAAGAGAAGATGATGGCATCTTCTTGAGACTAAGAATAGCAGATAAGGAAGGTTAGCGTTTCACTTTCTTATTTTCTTTTTGAACTCTTAGTCTTTGATTATTCTATATTCTGTTGTTGTTCTGATGCTTGCTATATAAGCAAAGAAACCAAATTAACAAAGCATTCCTCTGAATAGGTCGAATTCGAAACATCTACTTCCCATTTAACATTGAGGTTGATACTGCATTGAGCGTTGCAAATGAAATGGTAGCTGAGCTTGACTTAAATGACCAAGATGTAACTGATTTAGCGAATATGATAGACAATGAAATTGCAACATTGGTTCCGGAGTGGAAAATAGGAGCCAGATTAGAGGAAAATTCAGAATGTTTAAGTGCAGGTGTCTGCCTCAATTGTGCTGCAAACGGTTACTTGTTTGATTATGTATCATCAAATAATCCATGTACCAAGAACCTTCAATTTCTTCATTGCTCGAAAAATGGATGTGCTGCAATTCATGGCCGATTTGAAGAGATAACATATCAAGTTGAAGGGTCTGCAAATAGTGCTACCGAAGGTGCACCTGATGCATCAAGCCATGCCAATAACATTCATTATACAGATATCTGGGCTCAGAGAGATGAACCAGAGTTATGCTTTGAAGAGTTAAAAGACATATACTGTGATGAAACTCATAAGGTATCAAACCCGTTGAACAGCGAGGAAGGAAAAACTGTAAACGTGGATGAAGAAAGTGTTCTTAATACCAGAAAGCCTCATTCAAACCCTGCACCAAATTGTGTTCTGTTGGATAATGAAAATGAAAATGATATTAGGCAAGAATTAAGATGGCTCAAAGCAAAGTATCAAATGCAGTTAAGGGAGCTTAGAGACCACCAACTAGGGGTCAAAACAAAATTTACTAGCAAAGCTCCTGTCACAGAAAAATTAAAGGATGGGAAAGATGGAATTCTAAGGTTGTCAGGTACATCCAACTTGAAGATACTAAAGAATGAACCACAATTGAGATCTATAGTTTCTGGGAAGCATTTTCCTGTTGACGACGAGATATGCAACAATTTGGCTGAGGAAATGGTTCAAAATGTTGATGAGATTAGTCAGTCTAACAGTCCCGAGGCAATGCTCATAGCCAAGGATTTCTTTATAGGAGCTTTGTTTCCACAATCACTTCAGAGGGCAACCTCGCTTCCTGTTGATGCCATAGATTTCTAGAATCTAGAAAAAAGTTCATAATCATAAGTTGGCAACAATGTAACGACATTAACTGGTTACCTGTTTACTTAAATTTAGGGAAAGAAAATCAGAGCCTGAGAGTGATAGGATTTACTCAAACGACCCTAGCTGAAATTTAGCTTGTGGGCACCTTTTTCCATTTTGGCACTTGACCAGGAAATGTAAATCATGCACAGGCTAACATAGTCACGTTAATGTAAGTAAAGTTTTCCCTTGAGTTTCTGAATTTCAACTCCATTTCCTAGAGCATTATATACTATAGATGATATGAGATGCTGTATCAGTACAATCCATCATGCTTCTCTAAGATATAAGTTTTTATGCATTTAACTGTTCTTAACCGTTCTCATTAATCTAATGTAATGAGTAATCAGCGAAATAATGTTAGAAATCAGAGAAACTACCGTATGGTTCAAAATCACCATGTTTAGTTTAAAAATAGTTAATCAAATTTGACAAAACCATAGACACACGTGTAGTCGGGATCACACAATAACTTCTTTCGTAGTGGAGGTACAATGTAACCAGATACTTGCAAAAATAGGAATCTTTCTAGTCTTTAGTTCCTTCTTCCTTGACAATGTAATAAAGTCATATATAATGTTCATAATTTCTAGTGTCAGTCCTATACCTTTATATTACTTAAAAGGTTACAATTTGATGAATAAAGCCAAAGAGAACCCTCTGAGAGCATCGTGGGGCGCATTCGACGAGCAAGGAAGAAATGGTCCATCATTTTGTGTGATGTTTAATGTTCTGCAACTGTGAACAGTTCAACATAATAGCTACACCACACGCAACTCGGTAGATATTTCAAAGGTACGGATGAGATAGCTCTGACAAAATATTATTACCTAGTAAATATGCACACCCCTGTCTGAAAATTTTTCTGGTCAAACAATGAATACACCCATCAAAGGAATTTTCGAGATTAAGATGTACTATAAACTGCATAGGTCCATTTTCATTAACGAACTGACTTGTGTTAAAAAAAAAAGAAGATGATGATAAAGTGTTCATATGAGAGTATATTGTAATCTAACTCGGTTTATAAATTATGTTCTGGTATGCTCTCTACTTTTATCAACGCTTCTTGTTTTGCGTTATCACAACTCAACGCAAGTTGGGGGTTTGGCTAATAAAATCATTTGTCAATTTTTCATGATGTTTACAGGTATTACGTTTTGACGTGGCTTTTAGTCTCATTTAAACCCATTGGAAGAACCAAAAAACGCGTGTGTTATGAACACGTAGTTTTCATCCGGAGTATCCGGTCTCAAATCCGCAACTATCACATGTAATGAGTTATTTTCATTTTCAATTTTTAGTCCAGTTTTGATCTTCAAATGTATTTTGATAACAAATTAACAAAAAAAAATTATAAATTATCCTTAATATTATATATTTTAAGAATGTAGATATTTTTTTTCTTTTTTATGAAATAGAGAATGTAGGTATTACTGGCAGTGTTGTTGGGTATCTCTCTTCATTAATACGACATATGCTAAAGATGGGGGGTTGGTGTTGACACCTTTTACTAACAAGAGAGTACAACAAGTTGCGACATCCTGCGAAAACAGAGCATGGAAAAGTGTAGACCATACAAATGCAATGAATGTCATCATAAACAAACGTAGACGGACTCCTTTATTATTTGCTTTATAGAGCCACTTTACAAGTAAACGTTAAATTATGAAACCAGAAAGAAAGCGAAAAAGCACAACTGCTAACAACCCTGCTTCCTCTTCGTTCAAACTTAAAATAATTGCCAAGCCACCGTCACTCTAACCCCAACTTCAACCCCCTTTTTCATCTTAGGCTGGATCTTGAATAGGTTAGAAGTTAATGCCTACCTCCACAAGTCATCGGTTTAATAGTAAAAATGTGGAATATGATAACTTCATTCACATTTGGCAGATAACATAACAGCACAGAGTTGAATTTAAAGAAATGTTGATTAAATACACATAACAATGATGAGAGGCAAGGTCTATTCCTACAAATGAGTGTTTGTCATCTTCTTGACAATTGGGTGACAGAGTGGTTAAGAAGAAGAAGGAAGAGGTGAGTGTGACTATGATGTGAGTGCAAGGAATAAAGGCTATGATCATCCATTTTTACTTACAAGGTCATCCAAAAGAAGAAGAGATATACAGCATTAATCTTGTTATTTTGTAACATTTTGATGATTATTTATCCAGACATGTATTCAATTTTTTATGTGTTTTTTTTTTAATGATTATATGATATTTTACATTGTGTGAAAAATGTACTCATTTCTTCTTCTTTTTCTTTTTTTTCTCCTTTTGACAAAAAATGACATGTGATTTCTTTTCACTTCTGCCTCTATATTTTTTCCTTATGGATTTGTTCACTTCTATTATTCATCGTCTCTATGTTATATAATATAGGTATATATATACATGTTTATGACTTTTTTTACTTTTACACTACTTTATTAATTTTTTCTTTAATTTTCTTCATTTGTTATCTCATACTGTTTTGTTAAATTAATGATTGCAAATTTTATATAAATTCGTCTTCAATACATTTTTGCCTTTTTTTTAATATATATATATATATATATATATATATATATATATATTATTTTTTTTTTGTTTTTTGTTTTTTTTTTGGCCAATGCTATACTGCCTTCAGAGAGAGTCAGGGCTTTGAGTTATAACTACTCTTCCAAATTCCAATTTCAACCCACTAATGAAACAATCGAGTAATGGATTGTAATTCGTGAAATCTAATTTGCTATAATAATAAGTCTAAATAATATTTACCAATTATATTTTTTTACAATTTTTTAAAATAAAATCTAGACAACAAGATAACGTTGATCGAATAGTACCAATGAATATCCATGAGAACATATTAAATCCATCAAATTTTGAAAAACCTAGTTTAATATTTCTAACCTAGAATATAGGATTACGTGGGCGTACTAAATAAGAATTTGAGTTCAAACAACTAATGTAATGAAATGAGTGATAATCAAATATCAATGATAATCAAATATAAAAGTACTAATTTAATCTTTCAAATGGAGCCTTATATTCTAAATTGTGTTTGCGCGTTGATATTGTATCTTTATTATATTATCTCTCTATTAGGAATGACAATTAAACTCGACTTGTTCTCGCCCGAGTTTGACGGAGAAAACCCGAGTTGACCGAGGGCGGGTCGGTTCGGGTTTTCCCGCTTTAAAAAGTCGAGGACGAGGCGGAGATGGGTAATGCAATCTCGACCCGTCTCCGCCCCGACTTTATATTTAAATTTAAAATTTAAAATATTAATACTTTAAATGGATTTTCTTTTCTTTTTCTATTATATATAAGGTTATTTTTTAAATATTTCACCAATTTTTATTTTTCTTCTACCCACTTTTAATTTTTTTTGTCTTTTTTAATATTTTATATCAATTTATTTATTATATTATTCTCTCTCTTACATTTCTATTTTTTACACTTCCTTAATTTCTCCCATCAAATTATTTATTTTTTTAATTTTTTCAATCAATTTGATGAACACAAAGTAAATTTTTTTCTTCTTTATCTTTTTCTAAATACTTTACATAAATCATAGTAATAACTAATATTATTTTATTTATAATTTATATTTATTAGGTTTTATTATATCATATTTTTTTATCTTATTATTCTTATTTATCATATATTAAATTTTATCTCAATAAAATAATTATATTTTAAAGGATTAAAAGAAATTGATAATTTAAACTTTTATTACTTCGAACTAATTAAATAAGAATTAACTTATTAAATATTTCCTTATAAACTATATATTCCATATTTTTAAATGAAAGCTTAAAAATGAATTAACTTATATATATAATTAAATGTTTGAATACAATATTATAATAATAATGTTATAAGTATTCAAATAGTTGAATATAATAATAATAATAATAATAATAATAATAATAATAATATAAATATTCTCTCTCTATATATAGATAATTAAATATTTTTTACATACATATTTTAATATAAATATAATAAATTAAAATGTATATTTAATTAATAATAATTATAAATTATAAAATTATAAATATTTATTTATATATAAAAAATACATAATAAAATTAATTATTATAAATGTAATTATCTTTTAAAAATAATATAGATCGGGGACGGGGTGGGAACCCGAAACCTAGCGGAGACGGGAATATGGATTTAATTTTTAACCTCGATGGGGATCGGAATGAGAACAAAGATGATTAAAAAAGTAAGAGACGGGAATCGGGAGGCAAAACCCTCCAAGTTGCCATGCCTACTCCACTCTTTCAATTTTGCATTCTCAATCATGATATTGAAAGCATTAATGTAATGTGTTCTTAGGAATAAGAAATAATAATGATAAGGAAAATTAACCGGATGGAACTATGCAATATTAATCCACAAGTTTTTTCTTAAAAAAACCACTGCAGAAGAATACATATAATACAAATGTTCGTAGCAGAATAAATCTCATAAAAACTCGTAGAGATAGGAAAGACATGTTGTAACTTTTTTCACCTAATCTTGTTTATAGGAATAATAAATCAAGTTACGTTCGGTCGACTAGTTCATGACTCCACTTAAAAAAGATAAAATGAGACGCATTAATCTATTTTTAAAAAATATTTATATATTAAAATAAAAATAAAAATATTATATTTAATTGTGTTATGTTATTAAAATATATAAATATATTATAATATATAATTTAAATTATAAAAATTAATTAATTAAATTTAAAATTATTAATTATAATTAATTATTTTAATACATAAATATAATATTTCTAATTTATTTAATAAAAATATTAAATAAAAAATTAAAAATTATTTATATAATTAAAAATATATTTTTAAAAAATAAATATAAAAAAATACTAACAAATTAAAATCTGTATCCTAATTATGGCTATCAATATATCGTATCTGTCCACTAGAAACGGGAAAGGTCAAGACA